GGCACATGTGGTGTGCAACATGGGAACACTATAGCAGAAGTTTCTGAGAATCAGCAGATCTGGGGGGAGAAACCAGCAGAGGCCACACATGGTGTGCAGCATGGGAGCAATATAACGGGAGGTGAGCAGGGACTGGAGAGAGGAGATCAGCAAACCAGAGGATCAGCAGAGCTGGGGGCTACTACTGAATCGAAGAACCAGCAGAGCTGGCGGTTACTACTGAATCGAGGATCAGCAGAGCTGGGGGTTACTACTGAAGGGGGGGGGTATCAGCAGAGCTGAGGGTTACTACTGAGCACAAGATCAGTTGAGCTGGGAGTACAACTGAGTGGAGTATCTGTAGAGATAGGGATACTACAGAGCCGGGGATCTGCTGAACAGGGGTACTAATAAGCTGAGGATCTGCAGAAAGGGGGGTAGGAACGAGCTGGGGATCTGCTGAGCCTGTGAATTTAGTATGTAAACCACCTGCGCTACCCAGATTAAATTAAAACTAAAATAAGGAAGCTTCTATCACCTGGCTATACACCTGAGTAGAATGGAAAAAAATGAGGAAAAAATGTTGCTGTGCTCACACACAAGATACCTATACACTAAATAAACTCAAATAACATAACTAAAACCACTTGCCACCCCCCTGCTGTTTATAAACGGCAGGACGGTGGCACTCCAGGGCGGGTTGCCGTTCATAAACAGCACCCGCATTTTCTAGCTGTGCGCGCTGCCTGGAAGCGCGCAGCACCGCGATCTGGTGTCCGCTGTGTCCTCCAATTGGAACACCAATCATCGGACGGGACCTCAGTGGCAATCAGTGATCACATGCAGAGTAGTAAGCAAGATGTCACTTGTGACATCATTGCTTACTACATGTGAAATCTGTGAATGATCACAGAGGTCACATGGTGCAAGGCTATTCACAACAGCCTTGTACCATGTGACAAGCTGTGACCAATCACAGCTCACACAGTAGTTCTCAATGGCTGCAAGAATACAGCTAGAGAGGAGGAATGATTGCTTTTACAGCCTTTATGGGTGTAAAAGCAACCAGTGTAAAAAATAAATAAAAAATGTTCATCACCATGGTCACACTGTACTGCTAGGGTGACAGTATGTAAAAAAACCCCATAAATAAATAATATAAAAAATGTTTAAAAAATTGTTTAAAAATTATAATTTTTGGTTATAAACTAATTTAGGTTATTTTTTTACTAGAAAGATAACGGAATAAATTTTGGCCAAGATTTATGATGAAATACTATTTATGTGCAACATTTTATAAGAAAAACACTTTTTTTCAAATTTTTGGACTTTTTCATTTACATAGCAAAAAAAAATAAAAACTCCCAGTGGTGAATAAATACCACCAAAAAATAAAGTTTTATCTGTCTCAAAAAAATGCTAAAAAAATCATATGGCTACAGTGTTGCATGACTGCGCAATTGTCATTCAAAGTGTGATAGCGCTGAAAGCTGAAAATTGGCCTGGACAGGAAGGGGGTGAAAGTGTCCGGACTTGAAGTTGTTAACAAATAAATTAAATAAATCTCTTATAAAACTCTACTGTGTGAGATGTTTAAACATATATTATGAACAATCTCATGTAATAATATGCAAGAAAATACACACATATAAAAGAAAAAAATGCATATCAAAACTGAAGAAAATAGTGAAATAATACACACGCGCGTCCCTTAACTAAGGGCAATTAGACAAAGTGAGAGGCATATGGCATAAGATATGCCTGCAAATGTGCAGTTAAAAATGAACTCACAACTGGCGTGAATGATGCCTGTAAAGATGGACGGTAAGACTGCCAGGATAAAAACCTGACTATAAGAGATTTATTTCATTTATTTGTTAATTATGTTACTTGAGTTTATTTAGTGTATAGGTATCTTGTGTGGGAGCGCAGCACCATTTTTTCCCCATTATTTTTTAAGCCTGTGAATTAGTGAGCTGGGGTTCTACCGAGCTCCTTTAAAACAGTAAATCAGCACACACAGGGCATTTGGCCAGCGCTTCATTAAAGCTTCAAAAAAGCATCACTGAAGCATCAAAAACACATAAAAAATGCACGTTGAAGTGGTAGGCACTTTAATGTGTGTTAAAATCAAAGCAAGTGTAAACAAAGTTATTTTTTCATCTGGTTTTATTTGCTCTGTCATATATTCATATACAAATTTGTAAGTGTGTCTTTAAGTGGCTTTCTGTATATCAGGCAGTTCAATCAGTGGCATATTCAGGGTATGGCATGTAGGAGCTCCTGCTGTCTGTCCCATCAGATTGATATATAGGGAGTTCACAGCCGGAGCGGCTGTTTGGGACTGGTAATCTGCTTGCAGTTTACAGTGCATTAATAATAATACAGACGTATTGGCCAAGTCGATTTGTAATTGCTTACATTTATTCGCCTTAAACAGCTCTGTGAGCTTGACACTTAGGGTGAGCTGGGGAATTCAATACAGTTTTGAGCAGTATATGAATTGCATTTATTTGACTTATGTTGTAATCCTATTTTGATGTATATTATTTCTTTCATATATTGTAGACTGTACTGTGGTTGAAACATTTCTTTCCCTGAGGAAGCCCTTGTTGGGCGAAACATGTAGGGAAAATTTACCTCTCCCAACCGCAGAGATACAGCCAAGCGCTCATCATTATTCTCAATAGTATTTTATATTTTGTTATATATATTTTTTATATAGTGACCAATAAAAGTTGTTAAATTTTTAATATATGTTTGTTGTTGTATTTTGGCACCTTTAAAATCCCACATTTCTTCTAGCTGTATATTCTTAATTATAGGGATGTGGTGCTATTTGTACAGTGTGTCACCCACTCGTCACTTATCTTTACTTGACTTTTTTATATATTTTTACATATATTTGTAAATGCATTCCAAAAATGTAGATGTGTATTTTTAAAGACATACATTATATTTGATATGTATTTTAAAAATATTTTTCATATATTTTGTAATAAAAATGTATTTCAACATGCAGTTGATATATATATATATATATATATATATTTGTTGAAATATGTTTTCAAATATATTTAATGTGGCCAAAATTGTAGCATTTCAAATATATGGCAATATATTTGAAATATATTTTAAAAATATTCTTCCCAAATATATTTTTCTTCCATATGGGATTTAGAGGATATATTAACCTCCCTAGCAGTATGATTATATCAGATTTTTGGTGCTGAAAACGGTACCATTTTTTTGCATGGAAATATGTATTTTTTTTTATTGTAGGCCTGTAATTTAGGGATAACTCACTGAAATCTGTCCGAACAAGAGTCTAGTAAACATCCCGGGTATGATAAAACTTGAAACACAAAATCATAAATTATAATTTAATAAATAATCATAAAAAATAATAATAATATAATAATAATAAATTTAATTCAATAATATAATCAAACCAAAAACACTGAAATTTGAAATATAGCGCCAAGTTCGCACATCGCTGAGCAAAGTTGCTAAATCGTTTTCAGTGTCTGATGACGAATTTCCCCACAAATCATTATCACTCAATTCTGCAAGTGGTTCTGATTTACTATCGCTGTTCTCTAGCCGGTCTAAAACCGCTTTTGACCTAAAGGGGCGCTTTTTGGACGCCATGGACGTTTCTTAGTTTCCAGGCAGAAAGAACAGTCAAAATGCAGGCAGGGGACAGGACAAAGCAGTAGGGACAAAATGTATGTGAAATGTTTTGAAACAGCAATGTTTTACTATGTAATAATCATTTTTAAAAAAAATTAAATTTTTTTAAAAATTTCAAATTTGCCGCCGTTTCCGGTGCCCGTACGTCCCGACATCACAGGGACCGGAACACGGAAGCCGGATGCCGGCATTGGCCGGAGGAGATGGTCGGGGACGCTGCAGGGGAAGCATCATAGGAGCGAAGGACAAGGTAAGAGCTGCAGGGACTCCGTATGCAGCGCCGCATGGTAAGCCCGAGTGTAGCTCGGGGTTACCGCTTTTGGTACTGACATTTTACCCCGAGCTACACTCGGGAATACCGCCAGGGAGGTTAAGCAACCTTGATCAATTTTAAAAAAGGAAAACTGATTGTGGCTGGGCATTTCAATCTTTGCATGGATTTTCAGCTGGATACTTTGTCTCGTGTAGAGAAAGAGAGAGAGGTAAATATTTAAAATCTCTAAAAAGGATGTTACATCAATGTCAATTGATAGATACATGGAGGATTTAGCACCCAGGGGAGAGGGATTATATGTTCTATTCCTCTGCACATGTGACTTACTCCAGACTGGACTATATATTGATAGAACATAGATTATATTGGAGTCATTAATTAAGTGCAGTATTGACATTACATCTCTTTCTGACCATGCACCAGCCACAATGAAGTTGAAAATGGAAGGAGATTTAACCACTTGCCTACCAGGCACTTATACCCAGGCCAATTTACCAGGCCAATTTTCAGCTTTCAGTGCTGCCGCACTTTGATTGACAATTGCGCGGTCATGCAACATTGTACTAATATGAAATTTTGATCATTTTTTTCTCACAAATAGAGCTTTCTTTTGGTGGTATTTAATCGCCACTGGGCGCTTTACTTTTTGCGCTATAAATAAAAAAGTGCAAACAAATTGAAAAAAAAAAAAAAAGTTTCTTTGTTTCTTTTATAAAATTTTTCAAACAGGTATTTTTTCTCCACTGATGTGCGTTGATGAGGCAGCACTGATGGGCACTGATAGGCGGCACTGATGGGCACTGGTAGGTGGCACTGATGGGCACTGATAGGCAGCACTAAAGGGCACTGATAGGCAGTACTAATGAGGTGGCAAGGATAGGCGGCACTGATAGACAGCACTAATGAGGTGTCACGGATAGGCGGCACTAATATGCAGCACTGATAGGCGGCACTGATAGGTGACACTGATTATGGGTACTGATAGACGGCACTGACTGGCATCACTGCTGGGCACTGACTGGCGGCACTGACTGGCACAACCCCTGGGCACTGACTGGTGGCACTGACTGGCAGCACTGCTGGGCGGCACTGGTGGGTGGCACTGGTGGGCAGCACTGGTGGGTGGGCACAGGTGGGCACAGGTGGGTGGGGGCACAGGTGGGTGGCACTTCTGGGCACAGGTAGGTGGCACTTCTGGGCACAGGTAGGTGGCACTGCAGAGTGGCACAGGTGGGTGCACTGCTGGGCACAGGTGGGTGCACTGCTGGGCACGGGTGGGCGGAGCTAGTGGGCGCACTGCTGGGCACAGGTGGGCGGAACTTGCGGGTGGCACTGCTGGGCACCGATCATCAGGGCACTGATCATCAGTGCCCTGATGATCGGTGCCGATCCCCGCTCTGACAACTGCCGGTTCTCGGCAGTACTTTCCTCACGATCTGACAGCGTGAGGAAAGTGCAGCCGAGAACCGGCACTTGCATTTCCCTCTGATCAGCGTGTCATTGGACACCGCTGATCACGTGATAAAAGGCCGCTGTGATTGGCCTTTTACCACATCACGGAGATCGCCGAGTGCGCGCCCCCTGGGGCGCGCAGGAGAGCGCGTTCTGGGAGGACGTCATATGACGTCCACTCAGAACTGGCCGGCCGCAGTGCAGCCGTCATTCGGCTATCTGCGGTCGGCAGCTAGTTAAATAACATAAATATATGGAAGTTAAATGAGACACTATTACAGGATTAGGAGATTGAAGGAAGAATAACAAAAGAAATAGAACAGTATTTCCAGCTAAATAAAACCCCGAAGATGTCTCAGTGGCCACGATATGGGACGCCTATAAAGCACATTTAAGGGGTATCCTGATCTTGATAGGGGAAGTAAAAAAAAAAAGATACGGGTGGAAAAGATGAGAACACTGATAGAAGAATTATATAAACTAGAACAAGAACATAAAAGAAGAACAGAAATAGAAGTACAAAATAATAATTTTAAAAAGAGAAGAGTTGAATGACTTATTGGAACAGGAGACAAAAAGGGATTTCAATATGGTGGCAAAGGAAAGGTATCAGTGGGGAAATAGACCAGGAAAATATTTGGCAAAAATACTAAGGAAAAAGAAATCAGTAAATTATATAGAGAAGATTAGAAATATATACTTAAGATAGTATACTCAACTAAAATGAACCCTGCACCCAAATTAAATTTTTGTCCTTTTTTCCCCATGAATAGAGCTTTCTTTTGGAGGTATTTGATCACCTGTGCGGTTTTTATTTTTTACGATATAAAAAAAGACCGACAATTTTGAGAAAAAAAACAATATTTTTGACTTTTTTACTATTAAACATGTCCAGTAAAAAATTTAAAAAATCAAATTTCGTCATAAATTTAGGCCAAAATGTATTCTACTATATCTTTGCTAAAGAAATCCCAATACGTGGTATATATACTGGGATTTTTTTTTTCGATTTTTACTAGTAATGGCGGCGATCAGCGATCAAAATGTTACCTGTGTGTTTTACTGTGGGGCTGTGTGTTTGTGCTTCACTGTAAGCATACTGCTTTGCATGGCTGTGCTCCCTACCCGGAAATGCAAAATCATGTATATACATGATTTTGCGCACCCGTGCCACCCTGTAGCAGTAGTTCTACTATAGGGCGGACGGGAAGCAGTTAAATATGGATACGAAATTATATGAAAAGGTCATCGTTAGTAGGATGAAAAATCTAATGCCAGAATGAGTACACCTTGACCAGGTGGGGTTTATAGTGGGAAGAGAAGGTAGGGATAATGGTCTGAGATCCAATGCCAGAATGAGTACACCTTGACCAGGTGGGGTTTATAGTGGGAAGAGAAGGTAGGGATAATGGTCTGAGATCCTTACTCCTCCTGCAAAAGATTAGGAAGAAGTCCGCAGTGTTATTTCTGTCAATAGACGCCGAAAAAGCATTTGACAGGGTAGACTGGGGATTTATGATGAGTACTCTAGAAGCAATAGGATTAGGACCTAAATTGATGCGATGGATAAAAAATCTGTATAATCATCCCTCCAAAGCAGGGAAGATTAAAGTGATACTAAACCCAGGACCCTGCATTAAAGCGGAGCTCCACCCAAAAGGGGAAGTTCCGCTTTAAGGATTTTGACAGGTACCCGCTCCCACTTCCGGTCCGATCGCCTAGGCGATCGGAAACTGAAGGTGTCCTCCCTGTAGTCTTTTGGGACACGTGACAGGTCCCAGAAGACTGCAGGACCATTCATGAAGCACAGCGCTACTCACGCATGTGCAGTGGGTACCCAGCTGTGCAGCTGCAAGCTATCACAGCCGGGTGTCCACACTGAAGATGCTGGCCTCCTAGAATACAGGACGGCCAGTGAATCAGGCTGCAGGGGACACACCGCAGGACTGAGGGACAGGTAAGTGGCTGTTTTTTAAAAGTTAGCAGCTACAGTTTTTTGTAGCTCCTTACTTTTATTTTTTGACAGAGTGAGTGGAACTCCGCTTTAACTATATCTGGTCTCCCACAGTACACACAACATGGAAAATACAATTATTTTAGTAAATATTACTGCTAAATACCTTTTCTCTTCAGCAGTTAGAGCAGTCTTCTGACTTCAGCAGAGCACTGGTTAAAGCTTGTAGGAGGAGTTTTCTTTCTGCTCTAGAAGGATGTGAAAGTCCTGACCCTCTGTCTGGACAGTGCTGATTGGCCCTGTGCTGATCACATGCACTCTCCCAAGAAAAAAAAAACCTCTTTAGCAATACACACCAAACTGAGCATGTGCATGTGACTATGGATTCTGTCTGTATCAGGTGATCATTTCAACAAGAGGAGGGGCAGAGAAGAAAGGATCAAACAGCCTTTTTACACAATGCAAAGGATTAACCCCTTAGGTTCCACAGTGAGTATAACAAGCATTCTTTACTGCATATACAGGCTGATTGCACTGTTGTGGGTTTAGTAACAATTTAATGGTACACTATCGCAACCTTTTATAATGTATAATGGAACTAGGCAGGGGTGTCCACTTTCACCCCTCCTGTTGATACTATCTTTAGAGCCCCTGTTAGCTACTATAGGAAAGAATGTAAATTTAAAAGGAATTCAAATCGGAACATAAGGTTGCAGCGTATGCAGATGATATATTATTTTATGTTGTAAATCCTAGATTAACACTACCAAATTTAATGAGTGTATTAAAACACTATGGAGAGCTGTCAAACTTTAAGATTAATCTTTTAAAGTCAGAGATATTAAATATTAATTTACCAAAGGTAAAAAGACAGGCGATTTAATGGAAATTCCCTTTTACCTGTTGGGATAAAGAATTAAACTATTTAGGGATAATAAACATGGTTAAGATGGTGGTATGGTCTAAAATTTTATATTAATTCCAAAGGTTGCCTATATATTTGCCACTGGGGTATTTGGTGGCATTGAAAAGAATAATAATGAGATATATATGGGCAAATAAAAATCCAAGGGTAAATCAGGAGATCCTAAGTAAAGATTAAAAAAAGGGGGTTTAAATATGCTGGATTTTAAAAGATATTATTTTGTAGTATTATTGTCACAAATAATGGATTGAGCATATAATGAACATGCAAAAGATTGGGTAAAGATTGAAAAAACACTAAGTGAAGTACAATTATATAAAAGTATTTGGATTCCACAACAATACCATACGTTTGCAGAAAACACTAGCACTTTGACACGGAATGTCTTTAGGATATGGGATTTAATTTATAAACAATTGGTGTGGAAATATATTCACCATTAATACCATTAGTAGGAACAAATTATTTCACATTGGGGAAGAGTATTATTTCAGGGATGTTGTCAGGGCTCCAGGTATGACCAGAGGTGTGTGGACCGACACAGGGAAACACAGACTTCAGGTATAGCGTGTAACACAATAGAATTTATTAAAGAGAACACAAACATAAACGCAGTGCAAACAATCAAACTCAACACTTACATAAATATGTACAACCAGGTGCAATAAACCTTAACCTAATAGGTACCAGTGCAGTCAGGGCTGGAGAGGTGGAGCGGTCAGGCAGGCCGAGCCCACAGCACGGATTTCCTCAGGGCGCGGGGTCTAAGTCCCAGCCTGCTATTTCACCAGGGCCCCTGATGGTAGGGATGGACTTGGTGCAGACTGGAACCAGGTTGCGACCCCTGAGTGCGTCCGGCTGTGGTAGAGAGTACTGGCAGGGGAGTGCGGGAACGGAGTCTGATGGGAAGAGGCAGGCAGACTTACTAGAGGTGATCCGTGCGGGATGGATCGTCGGGTGAAGTAAGCGTAGTCAGACAGGCCGGGTCGGTATCGTGCGGGCAGCGTGGTACAGGAGGAGCAAGCAGAGAATGGTCGGGGTCACAAGCCAGGTTCAGCAGGTAACGGGCAGCACGGTACCGAGCATCAGGCAGAAGGATGGTCAGGCAAGCCAGGGGTTCAACAGGAGACGGTCAGCAGAGGTCAGGATCAAAGCAGGGTCAGCAACGAGGCAGGAACACAGGATACCAGGTACAGGGGCTCATGGGAAAACATACACCAAGGCCCAGATCACAGGCCTGGTCATTCCTTAAATACACTTCCTGCAATCAGCCCAGGTGTTGGCTGACTACAGGAGAGAGCACCCGCTGGTCAGCCCTGGTACTACAGCCCACATGGCAGGTGAGTCCCACCACCAGTGCTGAGTCCATTCCTGACAGATGTGGATAAAAGATAGGAATACAAGTTTAAAGATATTATGAAAACGGGAGAAATATGCTCTTTACAGGAGCTGAAACACAAAAAGGATATATATTTTCTTTGATGGATGAATGGCGGTAATAGCATCTAAAACATTTTGTTACAGAACTTCCACAGCCTATAAGAGAGGTGGAAAATTTGCATCCATTAGAGCACTTGATGAGTTTAGAAGGAATACAAAAACATTGCACTTCTTGTATGTATAAGACACTTACCACAATATCTGAACTGACTTCATTAGTGCATATGGAGAAATGGGAAAATTAGTTGGGAATGCAATTGAATGAGCAACAGAAAAAGAAAATATTTAGGATTGCACAGGGGGCAATGGATATGAACACAGTTGAGATGAATTATAAACTCCTGACAAGATGGTATGCTACGCCCAGTAGAGTTCATAAGTATCATCCAGAGAACTCTTTACTTTGTTGGAGGGGTTGTGGGTACATTGGCACATATATGGTGGGAAAGTCCCAAAATTTGGGCAGATGATAGTACAACAAATATCAGAAAACTGTGGGAGAAAGTGTAATAATGGACCCGTGGGTGTGTTTATTTCATGGTACCGATCTCACAGTGAAACAATATA